ACCCACAGCCCCCCCGTCACCCGGGGGCTCGTCGCGCCCGCGAGCCAGTGCGGGTCCCTTATAGGCAAAGGAGGCTCCAAAATCAAAGAAATCAGGGAGGTAAGTCTTGGGAGGGCTGCTGGGGACACTGGGCTGCTTTTTTTTTTTTTTAATCCGAACTTTGTCTTAGGATATCCATTCAATGCACCCAGCAGCTCCTTTTTCTTCGAAGCACAAAACCCAAAAAGGATCATACTATGTTAATTTAAATTGTCATATACATGTCTGTCATTATAGCACATTCTACTCTGAGGCTCCTGTGTTCTTCACCAGTCCAACAAGAAAATTAAATGCAGGTGGAGATAACGTAGGGAAGATCTAAACAGAACATTTCAGAAAAAAAAGAATTTTTACTCTTTAGAAGTGACAGTATTTTGTCTACATTTATATTCGTCCCAACACAGAATAAAATGTTGAACATCAAGCGATCGATTTTTCATTCAGTGTCAAAACAAAAGCTTTTGACAGGCTTTACCAAATGAAACTTACCCTTTTTTTTTTCAAAATTGTTGATTTAAAATGGTATGTCTCATTGAACTTTAAAATTTAATTTTAAACATGAATAAAAGTGAACATTTTTATACTGAAAAAAATGAAGTGTCATGAATTAGTAGGAAATGCTTTGATCCAAATTATATGTACAGCTTTTGCTGTAAGATATTAGTTTATCTTTGCAGTGGAAGGAGAGGTGATCAGAGAGGGCAGTTAAGTGCCCTATGCTATTGACTTCTTTTAAATTCTTCAGAATTACCGCATTGGATTCAAATTTGATTGTTTCAGAAGTTTTCTTAACTAAGGTCCTTCTGGTGGGTTAGTTTGACCTTTTGGGATTCAATCTGTACTGACAGGGTCTTTTCTCTCCTTGCATTCTCAGATGTAAGAGCGTTATTACGCTCTTAACATGCATACACACAGCTAACATACATACACACAACTGGGAGCCTTGTCATCTGAGACCTGCAAGTAAAAGCAACTTATGAATCAAATTTCTTTTTATCTTGGAATTTTTTTTTTCATCAGAGAACGAGCAAGCTACAGTCCTCAGTAGTATTTATTTTCAAACTTGCTTTAGGAATGTGGGAGAAAGGAGGTTCCTGGTGACATGGAGCGGGAAGAAAACAATGTTTCTATGCAAGCATTAAGGTCACAGGAAATCCTTTCTCTTTTTGTCTTTAACTGCAAAAAAAACAGTTTGTCAGAGAATTTCATTAGGTAGAACAAAATATAAGTGTGTTGAAATGCATTCCCTGGGTAGAACTTCACCCAGGGGAAGTTTCTGTCTCAAATTCCATACGGCCACTTGACTTTCAACGTCGGTAGCAGTTTACTACACTACACTACACTTGATCTTAGCCAAAAGGGGGTTTATATCTGGTTGAACCTGAAAACCATTTGAATTTCCTAGTGCTATCAAAGTGGTAGAAAGCAAGGAAATTGCCATTACCGGCGAGAGAGCTGCTCCTAGAGCACTTGCTCAGAGATGACTTCAGCCATGGGACGCAATTCCCCTTGGTCCCCCATGTCTCTTACATGCCCTGTTGTCCTGTCACAGGGTGAGGATTGGGCTCATATCTTAGTTGTGCTAAAGAGCATACATTTGAATGTGAACTATGTTCTGGTACGAGGATAGCTGCAGATTTTACAGATATTCTCTTTAAAATACTGGAAATCTCGTGTACAGGGTGAGCACTTTTAGATCATGGCTTGGTCTGCGAATCCCATAGGGATCATCAGGTTTGCTGGCCTGTGAGCATTAAAGCGCTTACATGATTATGCTGGTGAGTGGAGTTTCTAAAGGCATTTAACTGTCTTTGTAGCACAGCGAAGTAAAAGTTTGACCAAAGAGGTTTTTTGAGAGAAGCTAACAGGA